AGGCAGTCAAAGCCAAAGAGCCAAACGTAGCAGCGCTTAATTTACTGCTGAGGACTGTCCCGAGACGAAGACGAAGACGGAAACTGGAGATGGAGTTGGAGTTGGAGTTGGAGCTGAAGATGGAGATGGCGACCAAACTGAGCTGGGCTGGAGAGACCGAGAGGTTAGCTGGCCGGACTGGCAAACCATAAAATGCATTATTATGCTAAATGACTATAAAAATCACGTTTACAATCCATTTATGCCTGGGATAATAACCCATCTCTTTTGAACTGCGGCGCAAGGAAGAAGCCCGACTGGACCTGGACCTGCAGCTGGAGCTCTAGCTGGAGCTGCAGCTCTAGCTGGAGCCCTGGCTCCACTTCAAGTTGTTGTTGGCCAAAACCCTGAAAGGCAGCATTTGTTTACGCCGCGAATAATTGAGTTATCTGATCCCTGCTAGCCACAAGACAGACACGCAAAAACAAAACGCAAAACCCAAAGCACAAGCTGGCCCGCTCTAGTCGGGTGTGCACGACTGCCAGCTGCCCTATATCCAGCGCTGAGCTGGGCTTAAAAAAAATAACACTCGGCCTTGCAGCATTCCACAGGGAATTTCCATCTCAAATAACTCGGTTATTTGTTGTCCGATTCTTCTGAAATTTTCGAAATATGTGTAAATGCCAAAGTCCATGGCAGTCTCTTCCAAAATACGTATTATACAACTTATGTTTGATCAATACGGAGAGGCAACTAAAAAAGTGAAATATTCGTAGGCTGTGTACATTATATGCGAGTCGACATGCCAAATTTGGTAAAGCTAGCCCTTATGGGCGTCGAAATGTGCTCAAAAGAAAACTTATCGATATCGACATTTATCGATTTCATGATTTGAAACAAACTTCAGCTCAATATTGTTGCGAGCTCGTATAGTTGTTGAACTGAGATCTGACTAGATCGAGTCGGCTTTTGATGCTCATCGAGCAGCATCAATATACCCCTTTTCGCCCATTTACAGGGTATTGCAAAACAGCAACAGCTCGAACGGACTGCAAACGAGACTCTGGCCTGGGCCTAGGCTAGGCACTGACTAGGGGGCAGCTGCCAGCTGCCAGCTGTTCCTCGTGTCACGGGGGGTGGGGAGAGGGAGGGGAGGTGTCTCGGCGGAAGGGGTATAGAGGGGAGGTTGGGGGGTGGGGGGATTCGTGTGTTGCATGTTTGGCAGCAGGTAGGTGTGGCCGGCCTACGTAGCAAATTGCTGGGGCGCATTAGAAGGCAACGCCGCCCAGGCCCAAACCAAGACACCCAATCCGCACACCTCTCGCCCATCCCCCCCCCCCCCCGTCCCTCCGCCCCGCCCTTACCTGACCAGGCAGTTGGTAATGACTTTATTTGGTTGCTGCGTTAATGGGGCGCAGTCGCTGGCAGCGCCGTTGCCGACGCAGGCAGCGCAAATTGAAAGCGCATTTCAAAATTTTTCACACCTGAAAATTGTTTCGTTTCAAGAAGTTTGACGGACGCGCGCACAGCGGGACGGCACACAGGCGCGGGCGCAGTGGCAATGGCAGGGACGGGGACGTGGACGGGGAGGGGGCGTGTGCGCTCAGTTGCTGCGGCAAGTGCAGCGAATTTCGAGCGGCCTGTAAAAAAAAAAAAAAGGAAAACACTTTTCACATAGCGCCGACTGACAACTGCGGCCAGAGCCGAAAAAAAAAGGTGCCGACCGGCGCGCTGCAATTAATCAAAATTTAATTTCAAATGGCGACGTCAGCGTCGACGGCGACGGCGACGGCGACGCCAACGCCAACGCCTGGCAGCCAGCAAAAATTGAAAAGGCTGAAGAGAAAACTGGCTGGCAAAACAACAACAAAAACCAAAAAGAAAAGGAAAATGTAATTAATCACGAGGCGGTTGCAGTTGCAGTTGCAGTTGCAGTTGCCTTATCAACTTGTTGTTGTTGTTGTTGCTGTTGTTGTTGCTGTTGTTGTTGTTGGGCAAAGTCAACAGCAACAACAACAAAAGCCGCGATCTGCGATCGAAGGCGCCCCCCGCGCCTCGCCGGCTGCCACTTGGCTCACAACGTGCCGCTCGCCGCTTTTCTTTTGCTTCTCTCTTCTTTGTGGCCTTACCATAAAAAAAACCGTTACAGATTGTTGTAATACTTATGATAATGTTGTTAAGAAACTGACTGCACAAAGGCAATTAATTTCATACTCGGCGCTGTCTCGGAGCTGGAGCTGGTCAATTGTTTAAGCCCAACAATAAGCTGGTTTATTCGACTGATATGGTCTGCATATATACATATATGTATGTAGATATAGATAGCGATAGATAGCAAAGGTGTTAGAGTGTCTAATTGGGCAATCTGTATGCAGTTAGCACTTCATAAATATGTCATACAAATATATGTGAACCTGGCTATAACTCGAAACTGACTGAAGCTTTCTCGATAAATCCACTTTTCCGATTTGTATACACTGCACAAGAGTCTGCATACGAAAATTGAAATTGGTGTCTCTAGCTCGCATAATCCTCGAGATATGTTCATGCCGAGATCGATTTTTATCGGTTATGTAGCAATGCAGCGACCTATCGATAATTTGCAAATAAACTAGACTACTTCCAATCGCATCCTATATATTACTCTACCTTTCGAAGCGCTAGCTCCTTTAATCTCTTATAATCTAGATCGATTTTTATCGGTTATGTAGCAATGCAGCGACCTATCGATAATTTGCAAATAAACTAGACTACTTCCAATCGCATCCTATATATTACTCTACCTTCATGTCAAGTTTCGAAGCGCTAGCTCCTTTAATCTCTTATAATCTAGCTCTTATAATCTGTGCGTCTGCTGGTATTTAATTAGCTATGCATTGTCTATCGGCATGTCTGGCTACGCTATGCAGTTAATCGAGTTGTTTTCGTCTTTTACACACATATTTTTTAAAAACTTAATTACTTTTTTTTAACAATTTTGTCAGCATTTTGTTGGCAGGAAATAAACAGCTAACGTCTCTTAGATGGCGCCACTTGTTATGCTCAGGTATACATTTGTCGACAAACATAACAGATGGCGCCAGGCAGCTACAGTCTGTGGTGAGTACGAACTTTTTGTGAAATGACATCGGCTAATATGACTTGAGTACGTGGTGAATAAGAACAATTCTTGAAATTGCATTGGCTAATATAAGATCTAAGTTTGTGCTGAATTAGGACAATTGCTGAAATTGCCTTAGATAATATAAGACTTGCGTCTGTGTTGAAAAGGGACAATTTTTGAAACTGCAAAGGTCAAATTGCATTGGCTAATAGAAGACTTGAGTCTGTGGTGAATAAGGATAGTTATTAAAATTGCCTTGGATAATATAACTTGAGTATGTGGTGAACAAGGACAATTGGTGAAACTGCAAAGGTTAATTAAATTTCAAGTCTGCGGTGAATATGGACTCTTGTTAAAGTTATATTAGGTAATATAAGACTTGAGTCAGTGGTGAATAAGAGCAATAGTTGGAATTGCATTCGCTTGTGCTGAATCGGGACAATACGTGAAATAGCAACGGTCAATTTTTGTATGGTGAATATAAAATTGTGAAGTTTCATTGGGTAATATAATACTTGAGTCTGTGGTGAATAAGGATAATTGTTGAAATGTTGAATGATTAATATAAGACAGATACCTTGTGTCAAATTGTTTCCTTTTATCCATGTTCCTGTCAACGGATAACTAATTGTAGTTCTTCCCAGATTTAAGTACTGTTAGTATGGCGGAGGGGCGTGGGAGGAGGGGTCGCACAAAAACAGAGGCGTAGCAACAATTTGGTTTAATTTTTATTATTAAAAATTTGTTATATTGCCTTTCCATTGCTCATTTTGCCAGCGACCATTTTGTATGTCGCGCTGTCGTTTCACTGGTCGTTTTGGTAATTTTTTGTTTTTAAATTTTGCTCAATTTGTTATTTGTTCTATTGCTTATTTAATTATAATAGACAAATAGACACTATGCAACAGGTTTTTTGTTTTACTACTTTAACAGAAAACCACAAAAATAAAGAAATAATTTGAAATTCAATTTACAAAAATAAATAAATTCATATTAAAAATTGATGGGTTAACTAATTGAAAGGGTATGAAAACTATGTTGCACAGTGTAATTGCTTGTTTTCGTTTTCGCTGTATTGTTGGTTAACAAAAAAATAAAAAGGAAATATAATTATATATGTTTGCGTGTGTATTATACATATACGAAATAAATATATACAAAGTGTAGTTCAATAAAATTAAAAACAAATAATACACAATAGTTAAAAGACAGAAAAAAAAAAAACAAGAATTCTACAATTATGGAACTGAGCTTAAAACTTAAATAACAAATAAGTACAGGAAAAACAAATACGGATTAACAATCAATTAAATAAATGTACATATTGCATTTGGCCAGGCGCAGTTGGGCCCGCGACTTAATTAATTAATTAAATACATAATAATAATAATAATGATAATTAATTAATTAATTAATTATTAATTACCATCAACATTTCTCAGATGTTTACATTGCTCTATTATGAAATACTTTCATTTATATTTTCGTTACATTTTCATTTCGTTCATTTTTTTTTTTTTTCGTTTTTTTTGTTTCTTTTCTTTTTTGGGTCTTGCCAAAACAACACCTAACTCTGGGCACGATTTTGAGAGCGGCTCGTTGATGATGTGGCCTACAGCTCTGACAGACTCTGATGGGACTCCCAACAGACTCCAAATGGGTGAGTATCTAATGAACAAATAATACAAAATAGAAGCGCAGTGAGATTTGCACTAGTTAACGCAAAACATATCAACATTGATTAAAAGCGACAAACGTTTGAGCAATTAGCGAGTATTTCTCTCAGTGTCAGACCATAAATTTGCCAAAGATTTTGTTTTGAATTGTTGTACGCTTCGATTCTTAGCATATTTGTCGGTTTCAAATGTAACATAACCTCAAATATGTTAAGCGAATTCGCATATCGATTCTGAATCGATTTTCTTTTCTATTTATTGATTTCGTTGTATCGTTTCAAGGACTTGAGCAAATTTACAGTTAAACATATCGATTTGTAGCCATTATGCAAATGAAAACATGATCAGTCGATCGACTTTTGGAAAACATCTTATACATATAGCTTATATATGATTATAATTGAGGAAGGGGGAAAAAATCACAGCTAAAAGGCAAGCATATTTAAAGTTTGTTTCATTCACAGAATTCTTCAAATCAGAATTCAACGCGCTCGCAAAATGCATCGTGCACAAAGTCTGGAGCTGGCTGTGTAAATTGTTATTGTTATTGTTATTATTATAATTATTAATATTATTGTTGTTATTATTATTATTATTTGTTATCTATTATCCATTCTAGTTATGCATAATTATATACATCTGTTTGTTTACAGTTGCTATTGCTGTTCTTCTTATTGTTGTTGTTGTTTTACTTGACTACGCATATCAATATATAATATGTTTTTTTTTTTGTTTTGTTTTGTTTTGCTTTTACTTTTCATTAATTAGTTTATAATTATAGTATAGCACCGAGTACAAAAATGATCAATAAACATAGTTTTGAATTTCCCTTTCTTTACTTCCTTTTGTTTGTTTCTTTCTTTTTCCTATCAACAATTCGCATTTAATTATTTGTTGCTGCTGTTGCTTCTTCTTGTTCTCACAACGTTTTTAACTGACTTTGTTGTCGCTTTGCTTTCTCATTTGCTTATCTGTTCGATTTGTTAAATTCTACTACTTATATTATATAATAATTTCTGTTGCTTTCGCCTTTCACTGTCGCATCGTTAAATTTCATTGTCGTCAAATTGCCTTGCTAAATTTTACATGGAGCCATCGCCAGATATCTAAAAAAAAGAAACAAATTTTAGTTAGCGATAATATTATATATATATATATTAGCTGGTATTTCTTGGCCCCGTTTTCCCTAAATATCCCAAACCTGCGTGTGGCATTTCCCCAAGCCCCTAACTGCCTTCTCTCTAGCTTTTACGGATGGCCTTGTGCCTGTGCATTGATCGCCAATAAGTCTGGCTGTCAGTCAACCAGGACAAACAGTTTTATAAAAGCATATGTATCTCCCAGCTATGTGCAGGGATTGTTACAGATTAAATCTTGAAAAATGCCTTCTAAGAGGGAACCATAACGAACATCTTCATCGATATCCATGCTGTCATTCAGGCTCTTTCTCCTCAGGCTAGTCTATCTATTAGCAGCAGCAGCTCTCGACCTGATAGTGATTAGCACAGAGATCTTCCATGGGTTTCCAAAGCCACGATGGCATCCTATATCCAGAAAGAATCAGAAAACAGATAGCAAGATGCTTATTGATCCCTCGCTAAACATTTCTAGAGAGAAAACAGACAAATATTATCTACACAAACCACTTCATCCTGACGCAGGATAAAGTTTCTGCCTGAAGGAAGTCGATTCTTCTCACGCTCTTTTGTACGACTACCTGTGCATAATTATTATCTCAAAGTTTCGTCAATCACCTGCGAGTGCGAACTGTCGCTCTCCACCTGCTCGGAGTAGCAATGCTTATAGTTAAGATAGTCTAGAAGTCTTCTTGGTAATGGCAATGTCTGTATTAGATCCTTTCGTATAACCGCCTTGAGTATAACAAATCTGTAAGCGAGAAAGAAGAGTCCAATGAAATTGGCTTAATGGAAGCTAAGATTTGGGCAACGCACCTGCACATATGCTGCAAGCTTTGTACATGCTTAAATCTAGATACTGGATTGGTTAATTGCACGCGCATTGGTCCATGTTCCGGTCGACGATGCAGGAAGAACAAATATCTGTAAAATACAATATCGATCAAAATTGTATATAAATATATATAACATCTTATTTGTGTGTGCTTTGGCGAAACGCACCTGCCGCTGCGCGAATGTTCAACCGCCTTCTCAATGAACTCGGTTATAGTTTGGGATTTGAACTTGGCATACGAGCCAAACGAAAATGTGCCTGGAATGAAGAGAGAGAAAGAGCGAAAGAGAGAGATAGAGCGAGACATAGAGAGAGAGAGAGAGAGAGAGATAATTGATTATTCAGAATATATGCAATAACTATAAAATCTAACTGGGATTGAATCGTTTTTTTAAATTATTAAATACGCTCCAATTAACTCGATTGTTTTTTCATCGAGTAATCAACGAGTAAATGAACGGTTTTGAATGCGACAAGTAGGCTATAGTATTTAAGCTATATAGCTATTAAAGTTTGCCTATCAAATTTTATTTTTAATAAGTATTAACTAACGCGTAACGAGCTTAGCTTATTCAGGCCGCTCAACTCGGTGGTCATAAAATTGTATAGTCAGGAAGTTGAATTCAAATAGTTATCGGTTCGAAGCCACAGAAAAAACTTTAGCGTGTGCGTCTACATTTAACCATTTTATGACCATGCACATAAAATAATATATATAAAATAATAGCTAAAAGATGCTCTAAACAGATTGATATTCCACACACGATAAGAGTTTATGTGTGTAACTTACCCTGATCCTGTTCGATGCGCACATGGCGCACGCAGTTGTTTAGCTTGAAGCTCAACGAGAATATGTAATGATCATCGGAGCTGTCGCGGACAATGAACGAGCCATCCGGCTCATTGGAGAGCACCTTTTCGGCGGCCTCGCTGGACAATGGACCCCAATACCAGCCGTACTGCAAATAAGCAAAACTGATTAATAACGAGTAACGAACAACGAGAAAGGAGTAACGAGTAAGAGCCAGTGCTTAACGAGAAGCGTGCAACAAGAAGCAAGTAATAATGATAAGCGAGTAACGAGTAGCAAGCAACGAGAAGCAAGCAACGAGTAGCCGGTAACGAGTTAGAAGTAGCGTGTAAAAATAAAGGTGTAGCGAGTAGCAAGACCCGAGTAACCAGTAAGGGAGTAGTGAGTAACGAGAAGTGACAAGTGACAGCATGAATCGTTGAGCAAATATAAAGTAGCGAGTTGCAACTAACGACTAGCGAATAAAGAGTAACGAGTAATAATTAATGGTTAGAAAGTAACGATTAGCGAGTACCGAGTAGCGAGTAACGAAAAGCAAACATAAAGTAGCGAGCAGCGAGCAGCGAGTGTGTACGTACATCTTTGACTTTCTCAATGCTTGAGGTAAACTGTAGGGCACGTGGCTCTTGGGCTCCGGCGCTCTTCTTTTGCTCCTCCGGCTCCGTTTCGGCGGCGTCAATGGCATAAGCTGAAAAGCGATTGGTGCACAAAATAAAATACAATTTAAATTAATAAGTAGATACGAACGCCGTGTACCAACCTTTCTTTGGCAATGGCGGCAGCGCACGCGACTGAAACTTCTTGCGTAGATCAGCGCTTGGCTCGCTGCGATTGAGGCAATTGTTCGTCTCCTCCGCATCCGTTAGATTCGACGCACAATTTGCCGTCGCTGTTGTTGACGACGTGGCATTGACAGCTGTGGCATTGGCCGCCGCCGCAGCAGCTGCTGCTGCTGCTGTTGCTGCTGCTGCTGCTGCCGCCGCATTGGCGCGACAACGACTGTGATTGCTGCGCCGAAAGCGAAAGATGCTGCAGAACTTTTGCTTGAGGTTAAGCGAGAATTGTGACTTCTTTTCCGTCTGCAGCAGATGTTTGTTGTTGTTGGGCTGCTGCTGCTGTTGCTGTTGCTGTTGATCCGATGCCAGCAGCTTGTCCGACGAGCTGGGCACCTGTGTGCTGATGGTTGTCGTCGTCGTGGTGCCGCCGCCGCCGCCGCCGCCGCTTAAAGTGCTGTTCGTGGCGGCAGTTGCTGCTGCTGCTGCTGGTGCGGGTTGTTGTTGCTGCTGTGCATAATTGCTGCTGCTGTTGTTGTTGTTATTGTTGTTGTTGTTCAGCTTATCATTGTCGATATTATGTTTGCTCTGCTTGCTCAGATATTTGGCGGCGCTGTCAGCACCACCACCACCCCGATTGGTGCCCGCGCTGCTGCGCGTGCGCGCCGTCGTTGTGGTTGTGTTTGTGGTATTGGTCGCATTCGTGGACACGCTCCAGATGGTCTCGTTGCTGGACTTAACGCCCATCGCTTTGCCGCTGCCAGCCGCTGTGTTTGGCATTTTGTTGTTGCCGCCGCCGCCGACGCCACCGGCGCACCAGGAGGATTTGCCCGCATCGGAATAGAGCGTGTGATAGAACTGTTTCACCTCGTCGAGCGTCATGTGCAGCGGCTCCGTTTCACCAGTCTGCACCACAGGCGTCCGATATTTGCCATGCTTGCCCGCCTTGTCGCCGCCATCGTCGCTGGTCTCTGGCGCCGCAGCGCCCGCCGCGTAGCGTTGTTTGCGCTTGTTGCGTTTGTTGCGCCTGCTGGCGGCCTTGTGATAGCCCGCCGGATGTTTGTTGGCCACCTGCTGTTGCTTCTCCAGCTGCTGTTGCTGCTGCTGTTGCTTCTCCTTCTCCAGCTGCTGCTGCTCCAGCTGCTGCTTCTCCAGCTGCTGTTCGATCATGTCGACGGGAAACGCATAAATATCCGAATCGATGGGCACATTATAGAAATCGGAAATTTCGCGCGTGAAGAGCGCATCATGCGACATCGCCTGCGTGATGAAGATGGAATCGTCCGGCTTATTGGCCGACGAGACATTCAGCGAATTGTGCGAGCTGCTCAGCCGGCTGTTGAGCGAGTTGCGTGAATTGGGCCGCTGGCCATGCTGATAGTGTCCATGATGCTGATGATGATGAGCTCCATGAGGATGATGATGGTAGTGCGCATGATGCGAGTGATAGTGGCAATGGCTGGTATGGCCCAACGGGCTGTATAGCAACTGTCGCCGCTGCAGGCTGCTGTTGTCCTGCGGCTGCAGCGCCGGCTGCCTGCCACGCCCGCCATAATACAGATCATAGTCGTGTATCTCGGAGAGGCCGGCGGTATTGAAGCGCTGCTGTGCCGCCGCCGCCTTGGCGCTGGCAATGCTATCCTGTTCCGTGGGTATCGCCTTGAAGTAGCGCGTATGATCCTGATAGTAGGGGCACAAGGTCTGTTTGATTTTAATTATGGAAACGGGCGGCGGCGGCGATGGCAGCGATGGCGAACAACTGCTCTGCTCGGAGGCAGCCTCATTGTCCTCCTCGTCCTCGTCATCGTCATCTTCGTCGTCATCATCATCTTCGTCCAGCAGATCGATGCTGTTGCCCAGCGAGCTGCTTATTATGTTGTTGGGCTCGTCGTATATGTTGTCCGTATGGCTGTTCAGTATGGAATCGCTTGAATATAAATGCTTGTTAATGGCATACGATTCCTTGAGCGTTCGCTCCTGGCAGAGCATCCCGCACACCGTTGCCCCGGGCTGTGTGCTGACCACCACGGCAGCGGCATCGCTGCCCAACAGCCTGCTGCTGTTGTCCGCCGTCGGCTTGGCCAGCAGCAGGACCAGCTCCTGGCTGGCTGCGCCGCTGGCCACCGCTGCACTGACCATGGTCACATCATCCTTCAGATGTTCGAACGATGATTGCGATGAGGTCCAGCGGCGCAGGCTGTTCACAATGTTCTTGGAGATGGAGCGCACCAGGGTCGTTTGCGGCGAATCCTGAAATTCGGGCGGTGGATCAATCGGTGCCAGTGGCCCCTTTTTAAGCGTATTAAAGTTCTCCGCGCTCATGCCACCCTCCGAGCAGTTGTCCAGCGAATCAAACTGCGAGACCTCGCCATCGCTTTCCACCATCTGCCAAAAGTCACCATCCGAAACAGTCAGTGGAAGCGAAACGAAAGGGCATCAATTGCGAAACTCACCTCAATCTCGAATTTGCACATGCCAATGCGATAGGAATCGCCGCTGGATATGGAACTGTTGGTGGTCAATGGAACGCCGCTGTCATCGCTCAGCGATGCGGCAGCATTCAGCTCGATGCTGTTGGCGCTGACCAGCTCGTGGTCGCGCGGCGTTGCCGGCGGCGGCATCATGCTGCTAAAGCTGTCGCTGCTGCAAATGCTAACGGACACCCCATTGCTGGTGCTTCCGGTGCAGCTGCTGTTGCTGTTGCTGTTGCCATTGCACAGTTGATTCTGATTGAGGCTCTGATTCGTATTGCCATTTGAGCTGTTGCACTCCTTAAGCTTAATGGACGATTCCATGTTCAGTGTGCGTGTGCGTGTGTGTGTGTTTGTGTGGGAGGTGTGTGAGAGTGTGTGTGTAGCAAGCTAAAAGAGGAGAGAACATTAATTAATTGATTGATTGATTGATCAGCCAAACAAGTTGGCTTTTCGTTTGGTAAACTTTGTGAACTGTTTTGTCGGCACGAAAAAAAATACCGTTCTACTTCATTTTACTGATTGATCAAGCTTTCATTACAGGACTGGTTCATTATTTATTTGTGCTGTTGGCGAATAGTTTTATGCTAGTTCAGTTTTTTGACTTGATCAATCAACGCTTCATTATAGGACTGATTGATTAGTTATTTGTGCTGCTTGCAAATATTTTTATGTTGTTTCAGTTTGCTGATTTGATCAATCAACGATCCATTTGAGGGCTGATTCATTAGTTCTTTGTGCTGCTTGCGAATGGTTTTATGTTAGTTCAGTTTATTGACTTGATCAATCAACGGGTCACTAGAGGACTGATTGATTAGTTCTTTGTGCTGCTTGCGAATGGTATTATGTTAGTTCAGTTTATTGACTTGATCAATCATCGGTTCACTAGAGGACTGATTGATTAGTTCATTTTAGTTCATGATTAGTTTATTTTAATTCATGATTATTCTGTTAAAGCCAAAACTTTTTAAAAAAAAACACTAATTTAGTTCAAATTCTGATTGAGTTATGCAATGAACCAGTTCGGTTCACGGCTAAGCTTGTTATAAACTGATTAAATGATAAATTTGCACAAACAGAAAAACCAACTCTTCGATTTATCTCCGAAGGCTGTTTGATTTAGCTTCGAACCGAACCTCTAGAAAACTCATCCGACTTCAGTTCCTCATCCTAACCCTAGTACATTTTTGTTTGTTTATCATGTAAAATGATTAATTTAGTTCATTTGGCGAACTATCCAAAATCCTTTGAACCTGAATCAAATATTTGAATGGCAGTTCCGGTTCACACACGTTCATTCAGTTCATGGTGCGTAGTTGCGGCTATCAATGTATTGCCAATTAACGGTTGATTAATTGATAAATTGATTAATTGATGACACACATCGCATCGCGGCACACACATCACATGACCTTTGGGTGCGGCGACGTTGTTGCAGCAGCAGCAGCAGCAGCAGCAGCAGCGACAGCAGAGGCAGCAACGAATGCTGCACCGAATTGAAGGTCAATGACAGTTGCGTGCGCCTTAATGCCGCCCGCCGCCCAACAAGCCGCTCCACCCAACCCCTCCCCTTTGCCGACAATCAAAGCATTTGCTTGTGCGCAGAAATTGTTGCCAATTTAGTAGTAGATTTTGGGCGTAGATTTTTGCTACCTTTTTAGCAAATGCGCTGACGCCGTTGCTGGCAATTTAAAAATGCACACACACGCACGTACACACGCACGAACACCCACATGCATATACTAACACAATGCCAAATCATTTGAGTGCGTAAAAAATGCTGCGCTGCGTGTAGTACGCCTGCACACACACGCACGCACATAGGCAAACACACACACACATACACGAAGCCAGCACCGCCCAGCAGCATCTGCCCAAAGGAGTAGCCGGGAAATGCGACGCTACTGCGCTGCCGCTAGCGACGTTAACAGCATCGTCGTCGTCGTCGTCGTCGTTTTCGTAGTAAGTCGTGCGCTGTAGTAATTTTTTTTATGATAACTGAATGCCGCTATTTAAATGCGAATGCAGGCAGTCAAGCGTTATTGCAATTTGAATATGTATTTTTGGTGTGCAAGAGCGAGCGGGAAAGGGATATAGTGATAACAAATATTCTAATTAGAATTTTTGTCACTTTGTATATACACAACTGGGCGCTCACACACACACACGCACACGCAGACAGGCAGCGACGCAGCAGCGGCAGCTCACATGCACGTAACACCTTTGCTAAATTTAATTATTGCTCTCCTGGCTCTCGCGTACACATAGCCAGACACTAAGGCACACACTCACACATACACACTTTTGTGATTTTTATACATGTGTCGCACACACACACACACACACACACACAGCAAATGCATTAGCATTCATTACAATTCCACGGCGCACACAATTTTCATTGCACTTGCCTTTGGCTTTGGGCACTGGCTCTCTCTTGCCTGGCTGCGATTGCACTGCTACACGCCTACAGATCGCACTTTTTGCTTAACACACGCACTTTGTTAATAAACACATATTGATTGCTTGCATTTGCACACATTGCAATTGTTTTTCGGCTGCTGCTTTCAATTTCAGCATTATTTTATTCGTCCAAAACTTCGACGTCGTTTCAGCGTCGTTTCCAGTGTGACCAGAGCGCGTTAGCCATCTAAACGCCAACCTGTACTTGGGCATCGAAATACTAAAACAAATACCAGCTGCTATCGATACACTTGAGCTTATCAAACCAAGCATCGAAAATCATATGCTCTTCCATGCATTTTAAATTCAAATCTCAGCATTTTTATTCTGTACAATTACAAATTGAATGCAAAAACAAAAACTTTTAGCTTATGTACTAAGAGAAAAAGATAAAACACACACACAGCAAGCGCTCCGATAAATGCAAAACTGATCTCGAGTGCAATCCAGGTCCGTTTAAGGCATCATGCGCAGGGCACCGTCCAGGCGGATGACCTCGCCGTTGAGCAACGGATTCTCATAGATGGCCTGCACCAGCTGGGCGTACTCGCTGGGCTCGCCCAGGCGCTGTGGGAACGGTATCGACTTGGCCAAAAATGTGCGCACCTTCTCCGGCAGCGCAGCCAACATGGGCGTATTGAATAGACCCGGCGCAATCGTACAGATGCGAATGCCCTGGGTGCTCAAATCGCGGGCAATGGGCAAGGTCATGCCGACAACGGCGGCCTTCGATGCCGAATAGGCGGCCTGGCCGATCTGTCCATCAAAAGCGGCCACCGAGGCGGTGTTCACAATGACGCCACGCTGGCCATCCTGGTTGGGCGTATTGCTGCCCATCAGGCCGGCGGACAGACGAATCACATTGAAGGTGCCCACCGTGTTGATGTTGATCACGCGCTGGAAATCCTCCAGTTTGTGGGCGACGTTCTTATTGAAGTTGTAGGTCTTCACGGCGGTCGCTGTGCCCGCACAGTTGACCGTCAAATCGAGACGGCCGAACTTGTCCTTGGCCGTTTGGAGAGCAGCGCTCACATCCTGCTCGGAGGTCACATCGACGGGCACAAAGACCACCTTGTCGCCCAGCTCCTTAGCCACCTCGTTGCCCTTGGACGATGGCAGATCGGCGAGCACAACGCTGGCGCCCTGCTTGGCCAAACGTTCGGCTGTGGCACGGCCCAGGCCGGAGGCGCCACCAGTCACCAGGGAGACAACGTTCTGCAAGTGATAATCAGAGTAAACATGTGATAAGGGCAACCGATCTTCTTTTTAATTATTGTGTAACGATAAAGCAGCGCGTGAATGTTTGGGTACAAGGTACATGGTACACATACAGTTATTCTTAGCAGACAATTGGTGTCCCAGTTGGACTTTGTACCCGTCGGCCGGATCACAGTCGCCAACGCAATACTTAATCAGCAATATGAACGCCAGGCATATTGTTTATTCCCATAAATACTATATACAATGCTTACCTTGATCATGTTGAGTGGTTTTGCTTTAAATCGGAAACAATTGATTAGGCAACTGCAAAGAAATCTGGAAGACTGACTACCTCTGGCTCGACGCAAAAAAAAAACACCGGTTGCTATTATGGCGACTAGGGCTGTGCAATATATATCGATATATCGCTGAGGTAATTTGTTCGATGTTCGAAATACCATAGCAACCAAATAAGAGATGGTACGTGATTACGATATTGTGGCTATCGATTGTGACGCGAAAGTCACATATTTTCTATTATGCTATTAACAACCTATAAAAAGTTGTTTGCTGATGTAAACATAAGGAAAAATATATATAGAAAATAAAAACTATTTACCCAAGCGCACAAAACATATTTATTTAATAGCACTCAAATTTATGCCGTAGCAACAAACTATCGTAACGATTTCGATAGCCGTAGGCCAGTAAGTAAACAGCTGATTGCTGTCACTATTGTTTTTTACCGTTGTTTATGAGGATCTATGCGTAGTTGGAAACGTGTTTATATGTTGCACGGCGCGCAATGGATGCCGAAAAACACAAATGTAGCCTTAAACTAGCCAAGCATAGAGCCATCGACAACGATGCCGAAAGCCAAATCACCTTAAATATACGTCAGCAGCAAAGTAAGTGAGAATCCGTCCGTTGTTGTTAGATATTGAATACGTTAAAATGTTTAAAATTTTTTGACATGTCCACAGAGGGCGCAACCAAACAACCCGCGCAGGAACGGCTCAAACGCTTGCAGACAAATTTGAAGCAGTCAAAGAGCGTCAAAGTTGACAAAGAACGACCCGTGACCAAAAGGAGCACCAGAAACAGCAGCCTGATTAACAGTTACCCCACCAGCAGCCCACCCGCCAACTACGCGCCCAGCACAAGCGCCACTGCCACATTCCACACCACACGCAAAGCTGGTGACACGCCAGTCGAGACGCCCAGACAGTCGAGGGGCTTCTTCCAAAGCTTAAAGAATTTTTGCTTTCCGGACAAGCCAAGGCCCGTGCCGGCCACAGCCAAACCGCAGGCCAGCGCAGCCTCAAATAGTTTTAGTCAAAGATGTCGACCTTCTGCCGTCTACAAGCCGGCCAGCGCTTCATACATTGGTGCTAAGAATGCCTGGGCCAAGCCCAAGGCGCTGCTCGATGCTAGCAATAGACTAGAAAAGAATCGCTCCATAAGTGGTAAGCTATTATTAACCTGTTCTGCGTGTATGCTCTGCTCATGTGTTTTGCTGCCCCTAGCCAATCAGCGCCTGGCGCAACTCCGCGAATCACTGCAGCAACAGCAAAAGGCGTCCAACAACAACAACAACAATAACAAAAAAAGTGAAACAACACTGCCCAACAAGAAACTGCCAACAATTCAAAGAAGCGCCAAGACAAGCCCATTGCCAGCTTGTGTGAAGGCAAACGATGATGTGGAACCCATAGATATGGACTGGCAAGAGGAGGAGGACGATGCAGCAGCGAGCAGCAGCGTTACAGTGGTGCGTATTTAAATTGTCAGCCTTGCAATAACTCAACCCAGGGTGCCATCCTATTCGTATATATATAAAGTAAAAACGGGTTTTCACCTGCTTGACCTAGGTCAAGTATTTACCACCCATTCATTTGCCAAACTTGTGGAATAAAAAAGTAAAAGTTTGCAAATCAAAGCCCTTCAATTCCAAAGGTGTTTTAAATACGTTCAAACTAAAATTAAATTAAATAAATTATTTACAGGTTTCCAATAGTCAGCATGATTTGTCTTTGAATAAGAGTCAAAGCGAGTCAGAGCAGGAGGATATATCGGATATAAAGATGCAGCGTCTGTTAACAACTGGACAGGATTTGCCCGCACGTCGCTTGGATCACATGTACTTTGTGCTGGACACAAATGTGCTAATGGATAATCTGCTGTTTGTGGAGGATCTGTGCCATGTGGCATTGGGCGAAACAAACGGCAGCATGCTCTATATACCGTATATTGTCATCAAGGAGCTGGACAAACTCAAGGACAGGCGCGATGACAACGAACTGAAGCGTCTGGCGGCCATTCGCGCCATACGCTATTTGAATAAAAAGTTTGACGATAGTCTCAAAATACAAGGTATGATGACTTGAGACTTCAATCGGAAGCTGTTCTATGTATATACCTTTTCATTGCGCTTAGGTCAATCGGCGCTGGAGGAGGCGGACCATTTGATTGAGGTGGACTGCCCGGATGACAGCATTGTCAACTGCTGCCTGCAGCTGCAGACGCAGGTGCCACACCTGATGCTGCTGACCAACGATAACAATTTGCGGCTCAAGGCGAAAGCCTCAGCCATACAAGTCTCCTGCCGTTCCGATTTGCTAAATGATTATCGGTCGGAGTTTGATGCATTGCCCTCATAGCGTACGCTCAAGCATCCGGCGAGGCAAAGACTGCGGCTTCTGTGATAGGCATTTTTGTCGTTTGCAGATTTCGATGTATCGACGCTGCGATGGACGGAAGATAAAGTAGAAACCACGGCACCGCTGACAACATAAAGTACAATCGCATATGTTAGGCTCTATATATATGTACGTGTATTTACATTAATATAAACACCTATATTTATGTGTATATATATTTATAAATATATATATATATATATTTCTATCTATTTTGTTTATTCATATACACGTACTTATGTGTATAGCATTCCCATATACAAACATACATCACACAAATTGTTTACTGAATCGTAAGAAATAAAGTTTATACAATGAGATGCTGTTTGCAATTTGATTGCGTTTTCCATTTCCAGTTTATAAACGCTGGAAATAAGCTGGCATAATATTTCCTTTCAATTATTTTGTTTATGCTTGAGATTTGTTTAAGGTTTCCATTCCATGAAGAGCACAGTGTTAAAACGGTTTCCATATTTTGTCCGAGACTGCGATTCCATCGCTTTCACATTTTCCACTTGGTTGAGGGGGAAGGAGGGGGGTGATACTGCTGAGCGAGAGGTAAGCATTTGGTTTGTGGGTGGTTAATAATATCGCTTAGACGATACAATTACGATGAAAATAACATAAGCATATATATATATTTATTTATATATTGTAAATGAACATTAACATGTAAACTTTCTTGTTTATTGCATTACCATATTTTTGGTTAAATTAAAACAAGTTTTAAATTTGGATTTATTTAAAGTTCGAAATATTTCCGAAAGGTTTTGGATGACATACATATATTAAATGATTCAGGTAAATTTTGAGTTCAATAAACTAAGAAAATATATAGCATATAAAATATATTATATTATATATTAAAAGGAAAAAAAAACGAGAAAGAAGTGCTATCTTCGGCACACCGAAGATTTAATACCCTTGCAGACCCAACCTTTTCAAAATGCTCATAGTGCTTTGCCCGTATCTAAGAAGCACAGGGAAAATAGTTAATGCCGAGTATGGTTAAGATATCATGAAAAACAAAACAGGTTTCCGTACAACAACTTAATTTTCGACCGATCGTTCCTATGGCAGCTATATGATATAGTAGCCCGATGTGAATAAGATTTTGCATAAGTGGAGGGAGCATAGTTAAACTAATAAATGCCGAGTTTGGTCAAGATATCTTGAAAAACATAAAAATTTTCCATACAAAAACTTAATTTTCGACCGATCTTTCCTATGGCAGCTATATGATATAGTTGTCCGATCTTGATAGGATTTTGCATATATATGGGGAGCGTAGTAAAACTAATAAATACCGAGTTTGGTCAAGATATCTTGAAAAACATAAAAATTTTCCATACAAAAACTTAATTTTCGACCGATCTTTCCTATGGCAGCTATATGATATAGTTGCCCGATCTTAATAGAATTTTGCATATATATGGGGAGCTTAGTAAAACTAATAAATACCGAGTTTGGTCAAGATATCTTGAAAAACATAAAAATTTTCCATACAAAAACTTAATTTTCGACCGATCGTTCCTATGGCAGCTATATGATATAGTGGCCCGATCTTAATAGAATTTTGCATATATATGGGGAGCTTAGTAAAACTAATAAATACCGAGTTTGGTCAAGATATCTTGAAAAACATAAAAATTTTCCATACAAAAACTTAATTTTCGACCGATCGTTCCTATGGCAGCTATATGATATAGTGGCCCGATCTTAATAGAATTTTGCATATATATGGGGAGCTTAGAAAAACTAATAAGTACCGAGTTTGGTCAAGATATCTTGAAAAACATAAAAATTTTCCATACAAAAACTTAATTTTCGACCGATCGTTCCTATGGCAGCTATATGATATAGTTGTCCGATCTTAATAGGATTTTGCATATATATGGGGAGCATAGTAAAACTAATAAATGCCGAGTTTGGTCAAGATATCTTGAAAAACATAAAAATTTTCCATACAAAAACTTAATTTTCGACTGATCGTTCCTAATGCAGCTATATGATATAGTGGTCCGATCCAGCTGGTTTTGACATATGAACTGCGTGCAACAGAAAGAGGGAATTCTGCAAAGTTTCATAAAGATAGCTTTAAAACTGAGAGACTAGTTCGCATAGAAACAGACAGACGGACAGACGGACATCAACTCGGCTGTTGATACTGATCAAGAATATATATACTTTATGGGGTCGCAGATGTCTCCTTCTATGCGTTACACATTTCACGACAAAATTATAATACGCTCTGCAAGGGTATAAAAATTATAAGGCATATCTAAAGTATGTAAATAACATTTATTAAATGATCCAAAGAAAGAATAAATATTAAAATATAAATAAATAAAATATTATTGGCGAGAGATTTATAATATACTAGCGGGTATAACCCGGCCTTGCCCGTGGCACGTATGTTATAAAATCAAAAAAGCTTTGAAAATGATTTTAAAACTGATCGGACGGGAATCAAACAACTTTTATGCAAATCGGAAAACTCTTAAAACTCACCAAAAAAATCTTTGAAATGCATTTTCCACCGAAGGAGTTTAGATTTTGCAAAAAGTGTGAAACGCGTCTCAAATGATTTTTCGTATAGATCTTTGGAAATAAATTAGAACACAAAACGTCATCCACCAAATCTTCGACCCCCATTTCCACCAAGGAGGAATGCATTTTTCAAAAAGTGTGAAACACCCCTTTAATGAATTTAAAAATAGATCTTTAAATATGAATTTGGGGCCGATCGGATGGTAAACAAAAAACTTTCATACAACCGTTTTCCGCCAATTTACCACTGTTGCGGGTGGAATTTTACAAATCGCTGAAATACGTACTTATTAAGTTCTTATAAAGAGCTTTAAAAATAAGTTTGAAGCAAATCGGACACAACTTAAAACACCGCCCAAAAAATCTTTAAATCGCATTCCCCCCGAAGAAGTTTGAATTCTGCGAAAAGTGAGAAACACGTCTCAAATGATTTTTCATATAGATCACTGGAAATGAATTTGAGCGCGAAACGTCACCCACCTAATCTTTGACCTCCATTTCCACCAAGGAGGAATGGATTTTCCTAAAAGTGTGAAACACCCCTCAAATGAATTTGAACAAAGATCTTTGAAAATAGGTTTGAGGCCAATCCGATGGTAAACAAAAAAGTTACATACAAACGTTTTTCGCGATTTTTCCACACTTGCGGGTGGAATTTCCCGAAACCCCGTCTTAACGTGCACCTACATCACATAAGGTAGCTACAGTGAAAATTTCAGCTTCCTAGCTCTTACGGTTTGGGCTGTGCGTTGATCACCAATCAGTCAGTCAGTCAGTCAGTCAGTCAGTCAGTCAGTCAGTCAGTCAGTCAGTCAGGACAAACAGTTTTATATATAGAGATATATAAATTTACATATAAATATAATATATATATATATAAATAATTTGATTGTTTTGAAGAAAATAATTATGAAAAAATATATCCCAAATAGTTAAGTCATGTACAGGATCCAGGAAATATTGTAAATTGGAGCGCACAATGAAAACCTGATTCGGGCCGAAGACTTAAGGTAACGTTATAAAAACTCGACCGATAATATTCGAGATGATTTAAGCTGTGCTGTCATATTGAGGCGATAAACTAGTATGGCCATATATCTATCAGGCGACGAGACATCAGTTATCTAGGCAACAGCTCCGAGATAGCCAACTTATATGATAGAAAGAAACTGAAATATAGATACGAGACAGAGCGAAAAAAGATTGCCCGGCTGCGATCTAAATGCACGAGTGGCTGTAAAATCGTTGGCAGCGTATTCGAGTGTCGGTGTGCATCGTTGTTGATAAATAATTTATGAATTTCGCTTGTTTAATTTTAATTAAGCGAATTGCAACCAGAGGCGTCTTCGCCTTATCGAAGGGCAAATAGCCGTGCTTCCGCTGCCTGTGCCCGGCCACTGGGTTAGGGGTGCTACTCCAGCTGGTTTAGCTATCAAAGCGCGCCGATCGCTTGTGGTGTTCGGATTGGTGTGCAACGAGGTGGAACAGCGGAACAGAGGAACAAGAGATTGGCCAAAACAATATTTGGGTGACAGTGACAAGTTTTATTGCCTGGCACAATTAACTTAAAGCTATATAAAAATTGTATGTACGAACTATATGTGTATATATGTATATATATCTTTTGTGTGTGTGTGTATGTTTATATAGGTGTACATAGTGTGTATATGTGTGAGGTTTGCTAATTTACAAACTGGCGAGTTAAGCGGTGAAATTTGATTAGTTTTTCTCCATAATTTGTTTTGTCTTCTTCGTTATATATATATATTTGCTTTTTATACACATTGCAATTGTAAACTGATATCGTTCCAAACGCTATGCCGCTCCCACTGCTGCAACAGCAGCGCCGCCCGATGCAGTGCCATTAACTGGCGCCAGCCCCAGGCCAAGCTCCTGTCCTACAATTTCCCATCGCCGGCGCCCAGTAACTGCATGCGCTCCAGCTGCTCGGCGAGCGCACGCTGTTCGCTGGTTAAACGCAATATCTCCTGCTTCTCCTCGATGGTATGGCCCTTTCGCTTGGCACGATACTGCAGCATACGTTTGTAGCACTCAAGGATTTCCTGATCGATTGTATCCAGTTTACGTTTCAGTTCGATTCGTTTTATCTCCTCGCTGGCGGCGGCACGCAGTCGTTTCAGTTCGTCGCTGTTGAATTGCGCCACGCTATTTATTTCGGCGGTGACGCGCTTTATTTCCAGCAGCACCTCGTCCACATTCTCGTGGGCGGCCAGTTCGCTGGCATCGATCAGTCCGCTCTCCACCAGCTCCTTTTTCAGTCGCTGCTCAATGCCCACGCCGTGCTTGAGCATGGCCAGCGAACGGAAGTTGCCCGTGGCAACTGCGCCGCCCCCCGCTGCATTGCTGGTGGATGAGGAGTGTGTGTTTTCGTTGCTGCTGCTATTGCTGTGCTCGCCAACCGCCGCCTGTTCGCTGGGCAGCGATTCGTCCATTAACGCCGAGACGAGACGTTGTGTGAGCGGCCCCGTTATGCTCTCCTCCAGCATACTTTCCCCCTTTTTCAGCATGGCGCTGGCATTTTGGGATTTCTGACGTGCACCGCCCGGCTGCAACGTCTTCATATCCTCCTGCGCCCAAACTGTGGAGTAGTGCGGTCCCAGCGTGGGTACCGGCGGCACTAATGGTCCACGATATTGCTCTAGTAGATCATCAATCAGTCGCAAATCCTCATTGGTCAGTGGCATGCAATAAGGCTCAACCGATAGCCAAAACTTGTTTGGCATATCGTTTTTAGGCATCGCCACCTTAGGCAGTATCATCTGTTGTGATTGTGATTGTTGTTGTTGCTGTTGTTGCTGCTGCTGCTGCTGCTGCTGCTGCTGTTGGATGGCCGGCAGCGATACATAGTCCATGCTGTCGTCCGTGTGCACAGCCAGTGGACTGTTCTTGGCCATGTGCTTGGAGCCCTGCAGCTGTTGCTGCTGCTTGACTATCGTCATGGATGAATGTTTTTTACGCACGCCCGTTGGTTCATCACGCAGTTTCCTCTTCGAGTTGCTCGCTGTCGCCGGGCTGCCAATGCCGCTGCTGTTGCCGACGCTGTTGGCGCCCAGACCCAGCAGTCCATTGAGCAAGCCCGCATTTGTGGGCGGTGAGCAGGGCGCCATGCGCTCAAATTTTCGACGATCCTGACGCTTCTCATCCTTGTCCAAGCTATCGTATTCAGCCTTTAAAACGCGCGCACGCAACGCCACATTCGAGAGCATTAGCTCCAGCTCCAGTTGCACAGCATCCAGATCCTCAGCAGCCAAATGCTCGTCCGCCGGACGCTGCAGTGCGACGGTCAGCGTTGGCAGCTGCTTAGGCACATCTCTGCTACGTATCAGCGGTATTATTACACCGCTGGGCGTTAAGAAGACGTCAGGATCGGCTGTCGCATGGGACGCTAATTTGCTGCAGCCGGCAGCGCCGACCGCACCTGCGCCACCGCCTGTCCCGCTGGTGCCGTTGGTGTTATTGTTTGCAAGCAATTTGCCAGCTGACATGCTGAAGCCAGCGCCGCCGCCGCCGAAGTGGCCCATCTTTAGATTCTTTATGTTCGTACTCATTTCCAGCAGCGGAAACTGCGTAGTTTAACGTGTCGTCTAGTTGCGAAATTCGTTGCAATTTATTAGCGTAAAAAACTCTGAGAGCAAACTGTGAGCGAGCGTCGCTTGCGATATCCAAGAACAATTTCAACACCACGGAGCATGGGTCTGCCTATCGATAGTCTGATTATCGTTGCGTTGGCAACCAAAAGAGCGATACGTGCTAGCACAAATAAAATGCACAATGGGCGTATTTAATTAATTTGCATATAAATGATTTGATTGTCGAGAGGGTTGTGCGGTATATTTTAAAAGAATTTAACCCACTATAGCTATTGTTATTATATTTATCGATAGGCAATCAGGGTTTTCGCGCGCATTTACCAATACTGACCATCGATAAACGTACGCGTAGCGCTGCAGCCCTCGCATTTTGTTTCGTTTGCTTTTTGTTCTTTGTTGTTCCGTGCGCGCTATTCTGTGATAAAGTGTACTTAACCAATTAGTTAATGTTATCAATTAGTAATGATTAGGTCTCGGCCTAAATGCATACCAGTTAACATATGCCCATAGCAATTAACTTGTGCCGCCAACCAAAAACGACAACAATACAAAACTAGCTGCAGCAATAACAATAATATTAACCAGCAAACAGGACAAGCAGCAGCGACAGCAGCAGCAGCAGCAGCCAGCCAGCCAGCGTTTGTATGTCAACAGAGACACTTTGGTGCATAGTATATGTAGATTGATGTGTAATATTTATGTAATTGAAAAGCAATTTCGTTCAACCTAATCTCGTGATGCCGTCAATTAATTGGGCCGACAGTTTTGTCTGGTTCAATCACAAAACTCAAACGCAGTTGATTTACAGCTGCAGCAGCAGCAGCGGCAGAGGCAGCAGCAGCAGCAGAAGCAAAAACAACAGTTATCCAGGCAACGCTGGCCGCTGCTTTCATTGTGCCCGAATTAAAGCTGTGTGAGTCAGACCAGGAAGGCGAGCTTTGCATTTCTTTTGGCTTGACAACTTTATTGATCAAATATTTGCGTGCATGCTGTGTGTGTGTGTGTGTGATTGTCGAATGTGTCTGCCTTATCGGCGCGTAGTTAAGCAAGTAGACAAAATCAGTGTACAGAGCAGCCGCGCAGAGATAAGCCAAATAACAGGCAACAAGTGTTTAACACACATGTTGTTCTTGCAGTTGTTGTTGTTGCTGTTGTTGTTGTTGTAGCTGTAAATGTTGATGCATATGCGATACGGCTTGAATGGCCCAATCGATCAGGCCAGACAAGTTGAAATCTATATTTGGAATTAAATGTTGACGTTAATTGAATGAACGCACGCAATTGACGTATTGACACACTATCAATTAACGCCCGCACGTGTGTGTGTGTGTGTGTGTGTTAGTGTTAGTTACCTTTTGGTCCTATGTAAAACGGAAGTTCAACCCGGCCAGATATACGCTTTAAGTCCACCAAGCGTAGCTGTTGTTGTTGTTGTTGTTGTTGTTCATCTTGTTGCCGCTTTTTAGCAAATATTTGTGCAATTAATTGATTCAAAATGCGAGCGTCTTTGCTTACACAGCGCAGCGACAAAAATTTTCCAATTTACTTAGCTTATTATGCGGGCAGCGCTAATAAAAATAAACATACAGCTATGTGCTTATAAACTTTGTACATAGAAGCTTACAAACACCGAAGCCTAAATACCCTTGCATACATATACATACATATGTGCACAGCTTCGAAATACTCTTGTGGAAATGTCTGCCGTAGGAGACGATTGATATAGTAATTAATTATACGATTTTATAATTGCTCAGTTGGGTCAAGATATCTTAAAAAATAGCAAAGTTTTCCATACAGCAACTCAATTTTCGACCGATTTCTCCTATAGAGCTATATGATATAGGAGTCCGATGTTGATAAGCTTTTGCTCATATGTAAGCAGCATGTAAATACTTGTTCAAGATATTTTGAAAAACAAGTGTTTTTTTTTGCAAATATCAAACGATCATTCCTATGACAGCTATATAATATAGCGATCCGATTCGGCCGACTCCAACATATGTATCGCGTGCAACAAAAAGTCGCATCTATGCCAAGTTTCATAAAAATAGTTTCAAAACTGAGACAGTTCGCATAGACAGGCAAATAGTTGGGTAGATATATGTACATATAGATAGATAGATTTCTGCATGTTTATCTATGTACGCACAGATATATATAGTACTTGGCTATTCTGACTGGGACTTAATTATATATAGAGAGCTTCTATGCTTTACATATTTTATAATACGCATCGCAAGCGTATTTTAAAGGAACGTATAATGTTTTTCTTATCAGCCGAAAGCACACACACAGTTGCCAACTGCTTTACAAAGTTTTTACAAATTTGGCTGATTAGATATTATCTACATGAAAGCTATATACTCTCGGTGCCTGAATATGCATTGATTTCGGCTCGGCCTCTTGGCGTCTGCAGTCGGGCGTTTAATTATCCACGACTCAGTCGCACAGCGTACAAATTGAATTCATTTTGTTTGTTTGTTTGCAGCGCTGGCTCGCAGTTGGGTAAGAACCAAGCCAGGGACACGACACCAGCAGCAGCAGCAGCAGCTGCGAGGACAACAACAAGAAGGCCGCCGTCATGAAGTTCGCGGAGCATCTGTCGGCGCACATAACGCCCGAATGGCGCAAGCAGTACATCAACTATGAGGTGAGACTTGTTACCTAACAAAGTCATACAAGAATAGTTATAGATATGGTTATATGTACCGAGCGAAGATTCTTCCTGCTCAGCTCTTATTGTTGAGGGAAACATTGCTAAACTTAATTTGAACAAACTTCAATTGAGCTTACAGAAATCTTCAGTATATATGTAGATATTGTTAATCTTGCTGTAATAATGGCTATACGGAAGCTAGATATTTAAAATTTGAAAGGTAGTTTCTCTTTAAGATCAAATATTCTGATAAAATCATATATTACGTTTTTCAGCTTATAAAACCCTAGATAACCAAGATAACCATGCAATTCTCATAGAGTAGACACAGATACATTGAATTGAACCTTTTTGTTGGGGGTATAGTCTTGGCCTTTGGTATATACACACTTCGCGACGCCCTATTTAAGCCCTGAAAATTTCAAAAATATCTACATATAAACACCAGAGTTAATCAAGAAGAAGAAACAGAAAAGTCACTGTTGTAGAAAAGTGCATTCGCGAAAGAGATAGAAAGTCAGCATCCAAAAAATATACTTTTTAGCTGAGATTGATCAAGGAAACTGTATAAACAGAACAGTTTTTCATATACCATAAATCAATTGTCGTCTCATTTATCACATAAATAAATAGAATCAAGTTTGTAAACTTTCATGTTTATGATAGCTGTGTAAACAGCTCCATAATAGCTATATGATATGAAGATTGAAGACTAGGAACGTGTCTAAATACTTTTTGGGCTCAGTGTATCGGGGTGGCAATTCCTATTCGAACTAGTTCTCCAACCTGAACCTATATGTCATATGTATATATCATAATGCTGATTATGCTCTTGATTTGACAGGAAATGAAGGCCATGCTGTATTTGGCCGTCGAGGAGGCACCCTCAGTGGACAGCGTGGAGGATGAGGTGCTCAAACGGCATTTCGCGAACTTCGATGAGAATTTCTTTCATTATTGCGACAAGGAGCTGAAAAAGATAAATACTTTCTACTCGGAAAAGTTGGCGGAGGCAACGCGTAAATTTGCCACACTCAATGCGGAGCTAAAGTCTAGCATTGAGGAGTCCGAGCGTACCGCCAAGAAGTCCAAGGGCCAGAAGCGACACGCGGCACTGCCGGATCGCAAGGCCCGCGAGCTGAAACTGGCCTTCAGCGAGTTCTATTTGAGTCTTATTCTGCTGCAGAACTATCAGAATCTGAATCATACGGGTTTTCGTAAAATACTCAAAAAACACGATAAGGTGAGAGTTGCCAACCGTATTCAAATGTTATTTTAAGACTTTCTTATGATTTTATGTCTTTAACTTGCCAATTAAATTAAATTAAATGAATTTAGATAATCGGTTGAATTTTTGAATATCTGCTAATATCAATTGGGTTTATATAATCAAAAAAAATATTTTAAAATTTAATTAAAATATTTAAACATTAAAATAAAATATTTAAACAATTAATTTAAGTATTTAAACAATTAATTTAAATATTTAAACATAATCAAAATATTCGAACATTTAATTTAAATATTCAAACATTTATTTAAAATATTTTAACAATGAATTAAAATATTTGAAGATTTAATTAAAATATCAAAACATTTAATTAAAATATTTGGCAATTTAATTTGATATCGATGTTCAATAATAAATGTTTGAAAATTAATTTATAATTTTAGATGAAGTTTGCAATCATTAAATTTGAGTTTAGCTTAAAATTTAAAAATTTTAATTTTATTTTTAATTTACGAAAATAATTGTATAATTTTTTATTTTATTTCACAAATAAATTCAATTATTTCGTAAATCAAAAAAAAAATATTAAAAACTGTGTACTTAAAATAATTAGCAATTAGATTGTAAAGTAATTGTTTTTTATAAATTTAGTTATAACATGTTTATTTTATTATTTTATAAAAAAATTTACTTACGTCATTAATCATAAAATTTTTTTTAAAAATTAAGTATATAAAATAGACATTCAAATTGTTTATTATTTGAATTAAAATAATTAATATTTAATAGTTTATTTAATTGTTTATTTTTAATATCAAATTAAATTGGCATTTAATAAACATGTGCATATTGAATAATAATAAGATAGATTTTTATAATTAAACAGATTCAATGTATTTAATTAATGTTTTTGATTTGTAATAATTCGTTAAGCTTAATAATATCTTGTTAAATTTTTGTTAATTTTAATTTAATTTAAACTACAATAGTTTATTCAGCAAATTAGTCGGCTTTTAGCTTAAACTAATGAATTTTTAGAAATGTTTTTTCAACTGCTTTTCATTTGTAATTCCAGCTGCTGCGCGTGGACAGTGGCGCCAAGTGGCGTCAGGAATATGTGGAGGCTTCGCATTTCTTTATCAACAAAGACATCGACAACATTATCAATGAAACGGAGACGACGGTCACGGGCGAGCTAGAGGGCGGCGATCGACAGCGGGCGATGAAACGATTGCGTGTGCCGCCGCTGGGCGAACAGCAGAGCCCGTGGACGACATTCAAGGTGGGCCTCTTCTCCGGCAGCTTCATTGTGCTGGGCATTGTGGTGGTGCTGTCGGCGATATTTCACGACATAACCGGAGAGAATCTAAAGGTCACATTTCGCCTGTATCGCGGCCCATTGCTGATCATTGAGTTCATCTTTTTGATTGGCGTCAACATTTACGGCTGGCGTTCGTCTGGTGTTAATCATGTGCTCATCTTCGAGCTGGATCCGCGAAATCATCTATCGGAGCAGCATCTCATGGAGCTGGCGGCCATATTTGGTGTCGTCTGGACGCTGAGCATGCTGAGCTTTCTGTACAGCGCCAGCCTGAGCATACCGGCCTTTATCAATCCATTAACGTTGACGCTGATTATGGTGATATTTCTGGCGAATCCGTTTCATGTGCTGCATCATGATGCACGCTTTTGGCTGTTGCGCATCACGGGACGCTGCCTGGCGGCGCCGTTCTTTCATGTGGGCTTTGCCGATTTCTGGCTGGGCGATCAGCTGAATTCCCTGGCCACTGCTATTTTGGATTTTGAGTATCTCATATGCTTTTACTTTACTAATGGCAACTGGTCCGAGGCGGTGGATGCGTCCATATGCATGGAAAAGGATTTTATAGTGCGGCCCATTGTAAATTGCCTGCCTGCCTGGTTTCGTTTTGCGCAATGCCTGCGACGTTATCGCGACACCCGAGAAGCCTTTCCCCATCTGGTCAATGCAGGCAAATATTCAACAACCTTTATGGTGGTCATCTTCGCCACGCTGAAGAGCTTCAACAGTCGTAAGTAGTAATATGTGGTATCTCATTTTGCTCAGACATGAAGCTTTCTCTTTCTATTGCATGCCAGCCAACTATGCGAACACCTTTGATAATCCCTACACCTGGCTGTGGATTGTGGCTTCTATAGTCTCATCCTGTTATTCGTACACCTGGGATATTAAAATGGATTGGGGCTTGTTCGATAAAAATGCGGGCGAGAATACCTTCCTACGCGAGGAGGTCGTCTATTCGTCTACAGTGCGTAACCGGCGGCTAAATAATTGAAAACCCATTTTATAATATCTCGTTTAAATGTTTTCCAATCAGGGCTTCTATTACTTTGCCATATTGGAGGATCTGGCGCTGCGTTTTATCTGGGCGCTGTCCTTTTATTTGACTGAAATGAAAATTGTGAGCGGCGATATAATGACCTCCATAACGGGCATTCTGGAAGTCTTTCGGTAAAGCTTAATTCCGACTATTTCGATGCTTTATTTGTAATTCAATTAACGTTCTTTGACAGTCGCTTCGTTTGGAACTTTTTCCGCTTGGAGAACGAGCATCTGAACAATTGCGGTAAATTCCGTGCCGTGCGAGATATCTCAATAGCGCCGCTAGACTCATCTGATCAGACGCTTATATTGCGTATGATGGATGAGACAGATGGTGTCATCAATCGGTATACAAAAACGAACAGACCCAAGCCAAAGAAGATCAAGGATCCGGAGAAGCGTAGCCTGTTGCATGCACGCGGCTCCCTACCGGATCTGAGCATTGATATTGATGGCACTAAAAAGCTTTAAGATAGTATGTGTCCCATGCCCCGCCTTTAATAATTTTTTTGTGGTCCCCTCATACCCCATCCACGCAACTTCCTAGAGAACGATTATTTTCTTATTATTATTATTATTTTTTTTTTTTTTTGTGGCAACTATACTAATATTTGTATAATTATTAATCATATTTTGTTGTTTTTAGTTAATGTTTACAGCTAGTTACTAAGTACTTAAAGAAACAAGTTCGTATACGCCACCCAGATAACATAAATATTTAGATCCTAAGTTGAACTAAACACTAAATTATCATTCCATGAACGCATCTTACAATGGACCAATGCACCTTGTAAGCAAACCCGACCCTAAACGAACCTTTAGCAAACTCCAAAACAACAAATTCCCATCCATTCCCATAGAGCGGCAGTATTACTTAGAAAGTCCTACTAAAAAATATAACCCTAGACGACAAAAGCGATAAAAAAAACCATTGGCAAATATGCAATAGCAAAAACACATTCCTTTATGAAGACAAACAAAAAAAAATAGATAAAAAAAGAAAAGAAAACCTTAATTAAGATTTAGACAATTATTTTTGAAACAATATTGAATATGTTCTAGCGTCAATTTTTGTGTGTACCACTAAATGTACTTAGTAGTTTGTAGAGTTGTGCTTTATTATTATATATATTTTTTATTTTCGTTCAAACAATTCGAGTAACATATTTTCGCATGTTCCGAAAAGTCGCCCAAAATTCGTTTATGATAAATTGTGTTATATGGCCTGCGTTAAGGTGCAGGTATTTAAATTGTATAAATGGTTTAGGGAACATGTTGCATAACTTTTTATATAATATATTTAAAAGACAGACTTTAGACGTGTAACGTTATGTACCAAGTATAATGTTTTTTTTTTTCGTAAGCGGCCTTGTCTTAACTTAAGCAACAAAAATTTCATAATTTCTTTTTTGCCGTTTCTTGTGTTGTATTCTGTTTAATATATATATATATATATATATATACTATATGTTGTATATAACCATATGATTAACTACATTGAACAGAACTGAACCAAGAACTGTTAATAATAATATGTATACCCGCGCTCCTTGAGCTAGATATATAGTACACAACTCTAGAAAATACGAATGAAAAACATATACACATACATATAGAAATTGTATTACTTGGGTTATGCCTCAAAGAGAACCCAAAACATAATTGAAACGAATTGTACGAAATAAAGACGCCTAGTTACGCTGCATATACATAAATATGTATATATACATATGTATGTATAGAAATATATACATAAATATATGTATAGTATCCCCCCATCAAAGCTTAGGAGACATTCTCCAAAACGGCACAGACAAGTGCCGTGCCTCGCATTATCCAGAACTCGGGATCGTTTTTGCTGCGCAACAATATGGACAGGACAAAGTTAGTCGAGTGACCAGTTGTGGATAGGACGCCGGAACGCTGCTGGGTCTTGTAGAGCGGCGCCTCATAGCGGACCATGGTGCCAACCTCCAGGCAGGGCATGAAGCGTACGACAGGCATGCGCGTATATAGCTCGCCAAAGCGGGCATCAGTCAATCCACCCTTGCTCAGATCCCAGCGAGCGGCCTCCACAAAGATGCCATGCACATTGATCAGCGCATCCGTGCACTCCTCCAGATTGCCATAGAGACGGCCGTCCTGTGGGAAATAGAGTGAATTATTCAAACATCAGCTGATCGAACATGGCTAGCTGTGGACGCACATTGATATGTGAATTGTGCAGCTCAAAGAAATCCTGCTGCACTAGCTCCAATTCGATGATCTGGAAGTCAATCTTGAGCGAATCAATGGGCAGGACGCGACGACGCGCAAATGTCTGCAATATGCCGGTAAGGAAGGATTGCGGAAAGAAGAAGCCGCTTATCCAATAGGAACGTGGCGCACCATTCTCCGCCCAGTGCTGGATGAAGTCGATGCGACGCTGAAAGTCCACAATATAATTGGGCAGCGGTTTGACGGACAGAAAGCTGCGTTTGGCCCACATGGCCGGCACCTGGTTGGCCAACAGTGCACGGAATACCAGCTCCAGATCCTCAGACATGACAACCAGACCCTTAATCGCTTTCGACAGATTGCTCAAGCTGTCATGGACAATGCCCAGCGCAATGTTAAAGCGATCGATCTCCTGCACCAAGACGGTTGTCAACGACGGCATCTGACCCTTGCTATCGGGCTATCGAATAAAGTTGTGTATGTATTCGGATTATGGATTGGGATTAAGCTACTGCTACCTACCACGGAAAGGGTATCGTGGATGGGCTCACGCTGTATCTTATTGGTCAGGGACGATTGTATGCGTGCTATAATCTGCTGGCAGAGATCATTCTCCATGGCCTGACCCTCATCGGCAGCGGAACGCGGCTGACCAAGTAGCAGTGTGCTAATAAAGAATTCCGTTTCCTTCGTCTGGAACACAATGTTGGCGTTCTGGTTCATGCCAAAGATTTCAGGATCCTCCAGCACCGGAAAGCCAAGCACAAACGTTGCATACTCCTTAAGCGTTTTGCCCTGCGGATCTCTATAGTAGGAATCGCCTCGACAATATTTATAATCCGGCTGTACAATGCGCTCCGACGAGAATATGGTTAATATAGTGCGTAGGCAGCGCAGATCCCAGTAGTCGGTAACGCGACCACCCCAGGTGATCTCGCCATTGATATAGAGTATGGCCTCCCATGGTATATCGGCCTTGACCTCACGATTGATAAAGAAGTCAAGAGTTTTCAGTCCGCACTCGCGATCGCTCTCACTGAACTCGTATGTGATATTCCAGCCAAGTGGGCCAAATTTGCGACGCTCCAGAAGCACCGCATGGAACATGCACAGGCCGAAGACAATCGCCCGCCATTTGCCGTTCTGAATGTGCTGTTCAAAAAAGTCCGTCTTCAGGTCACTCAAAGCACCAATAACATTCGCCTTAATGCCTTTGGGCGGCTCATTGGTAATCTTAACGGAATTCTGTAGCACACTAATGGGAAAGGACTGTGTGGGCATGGAGGAGAGATACAAACGGAAGTCAACATGCGCCTTGGTTATGCCCAGCGTCAGATTGCGTACTACGGTCTCCAGCACACGCATCCAGGAGGTGGCCAGGTGACAGTTCTGCAGAAAGACCCAGTGGCCCATGCGTAAACTCTTATCAATCAAACTTTCGGCGAGTGGACCCTGGCCCTGACCCAAGGATATCGAATAATACTTGTCCGTAAATTTCATTTCATTGGTAAACTTAAGGAAACCCGACATGGGATCCGAGCCGGTCGACAGTACAAAGATCAATGGTGTTACAGACGACGTGTCCAGGTAGCTGAAGAGTGGAAAACAAAAACATTGAAGATCCCAGCTAAAATGGAAAACAAGCACAAAAGCCGCCTACTTACACTGTGTTCAGCTGTGTGCCCGAGGCGGAGACTTCTGTAAAGTATTTACCCACAGTTGAATGAAGGTAGCTAACCACATTGAGCAGGAAACGCGGCTTTCGGAAGGTGGCCACAAACATGAGCTTGTGGAAGACGTGGAGACGCTTGTTCCATTTATCGGTGGGATCTTCTTTGGTGTTAGCGAAGTCGAACACTTCTTTGTTGTCCTGCAGCTGTAAAAAGAACGGCTTGTCCAGCTCGCTAGTGAAGCCCGAAAAGGTATCCTTAAAGTGCTGTTCCAAATATAATGCCGACTCCCATTCAACTTGACTCATTCTCAAACCCGGTGGCTGTGCCTTGAAACGCGCCCCGCCAACAGCACCACGAGTTAGGAAATTGAACTCTTCCTCACTAACCCGACCCTCTTGTCGCTCCACAGACAGCGCCAGCAGAAAGCTAAAGATAAGCTTGTGATTCTCAAAAAGACCGCGCGATATATTATCATAGATGGCCCTCAGTTCATCAACCATTAGCGTGGAGATGCGCTTTTCGATGGCCATGACGGGATGATCAATGCGTAGTACATTACAAAAGACCTGCGTAAAATACTTCAGACTGTACTGGTACATGGGATCGATCTCGGCCAGCCCGGCGACCACAAAGTAGAGAATGGCACCGCGAGATGCGAGGATGCGATAACGTTCACGCGAGGCTGTAATAACTTTCTCCGTTTCTTCCGTATCAATGAGACGTGCCGCAATAATCAATGAAGTTTCCTGGTCAAGCAGAAACAGATAGAAAGTCAGAGAGAGAGAGAGAGAGAGAGAGTGTATCAGATTGGGTTGCTGCCCATGTATTTGGTGAGGATCTCACCTTGGCATCATTGAGCGTTTCCACAAGTTCCTCATCATCCAAAATATTGCCCTCGGAGTTGAAGAGCAGCTTGAGCACCTTATCCTCCAGCGATAGCAGTTGCTGTTTGTCTGCATTGATCTTGACCACAAGATCGTTGCGTTGCGCCTCCATGGCGGGCAGCTCAATGGCGACAATGTCTCTGTAAGTGAGGGATTAAAACTGAGTTACCTTCCCACCAATCCTTGGCTTACTTACGCCAGCAACTGATCCTCGAGGCCGCTTTCGGTGACCAGAAAGTTGACCAGTGTCACATTGATGCACACTTCGGGCAGATAATGCGGATTGGGCAGCTTGGTGGTCATATATAGCTTAAAATTATCATCGTAGTCAATGATCTGATCGCCCAGCTTGAGATAGACGCGTCCCTCAAACTTGTACGTCTCACGCTGAAGTATGGGTCGCAGCGCTGGATCTATGGTCTCGTCCAGTTCCTCGAGCAGCACCGGATTGCCCTGACGTACGCTGTTCTCCAGCACCCGCATCATGGAGGCGTCTGTCATTTTGATCACCTGCAGATTGTTGGATTTCTCCATGTTGCGTATCCAGCGATTGGCCTGCTCCTGCGGATCAATCATTAGTGCCCAGCGCAACGCACGCGTTGCATAAATGCCATTCTCAATGGATATGTTATCCTTGGGCAAGCCGTCGACATTCCACTGACGCATCTCGTACGCATCGCCCAAGACCTTGAGCAGATTGAACTCCTTGCTCGAGGGTATGCTGAACTCCCGGCACTTGTCCACCCACAACTGGCTCATGTCGCGACGATATTGATTCGAGAAGGCGCCCAGATAGGCAACGCAGGCGGCGGCAACCAGCACATCACCAGGTACGCAGCCAAGATCAGCGGTAAGTGATTTAACAGTTTCACGCCAGCGCACCTGCTCATCGGCTAGGGCCGAGGTAAGACGTCCAGCACGATTGATCCGACCATACGTTAGGTCCACATTGTCCTGTATGACCTGGAATTCGAGCTGCTTCTCCTCGAGGCTGTCGCGCAGCAATTGTATTTTGGCCTCAACAGCGGCCAGCTCTTTCTGCTTCTGGCGAAGCACCTTCATGACATCCTTAAGTTCCGCCTCGGCAGCCTCTTTTCGCTTTATCTTTGGCTCAACCACTTTGTAGACCTTGTTGAAACTGTCCATGGCGATGACCCACATGCTCACGGACTTGGCTACTTTCGACACCTTTTCGAATTTCTGTGAATTGAGTTACACACATTTTTTTTCGGTTGAGAAAAGAAAAAGACACTTAAGCCCCACACTTGACTCGACTTACAGCTGGCACAAAGTCCTTGTGGTCTATGTACTTTTTGACCTTTTTTACGACGTCGTCCTTCATGTGTTCCTTGTCGTATTCGAAGAGTCGCTTAATGAAGTTGATGTCCGCCATAATTGCTTTGGCTGAGGCCCAGGTGGGTCTATGGAATATCATCGCAATCAGTTCTACAGCTGTTTAACTGTGTGTGTGTGATTCAATACTCACTTGGCACCCAACAAAATGCAAACAGCTTCCATGCAGAACTGCACCAGGGCCGGTGGTGTGGTAAAGGATTTCAGTTCATTGATGTCGGCTTTAGTTAGACCCTTGAGCGCTTCCTCGGAATCGCGGAGAGCCGGCATGGCTGTCTCCAAATCCTTGCTAGCATCTTCGGATATCGCCTGGGCAATGGCTGCCTTCTCTTTGGCATTGGCCTCATCCTCCATGACCCCCTGTTTGACAGCGTCAGCCTGTTTGGTTTCCTTGGTTAGATTATCCACCAACGACTTCATCATGGCAGACTTTTCATCTAGTTGGGGCACCATTACTTCCAACTCCTTTTGCATGACTGCAATCTTAAAGGGCACACAAGGGGCTTAGGCTGTGCTCTTTTAATTGGCATCTCCAATAGCTGGTCTACTTACCACTTCGTTGGTCTCCAGCAGCTTGTTCAGACCGCT